TTCCATCATTCAAAGATTTGATTTGAAGTTCTGTTGTTGCCGTCATTTTATCATTTCCTGCTTCGCTGTTCAACGCTGCATCCTCGTCATCACGCCGACAGTTTTCAGGTCAAACTCAGCCGTGTGGTCTTGTGTTCCTTGTCTTATCGGTCACTTGATTCTTTCCCCTTCATCCAGGAGGCTCTAACAGCTGGTGGAGAGCCACCATCATCACACCAGTCATTAAGGTCACATGGGTCAAGGTGTGAGTGAGAGCAGGTGGTGTTCGGCGTGCGAGGCGTCCTTTACTCCTCATCGGCGTGCTTTCTCCTGAAACACCTGGAGCTTCAGGATGACGGTGAAACGTCAGCTGGTGCAGACTCGCTGGTTTCTCTGTGACGAGCAAACTTCAGGGCCGCTCCACGCTGATGCAGCTTCCTGCTTTCAAAGGTAAGGAACCAATCGGGTGCTTTCATTCACACTGAAAGCGTTAAAGCCGCCCGCCACATCCTACAAAAAGAGAAGAGCAGACCTGCACGCACTCACCTGAAGCACACCTGTGTTTGTGGGCTTCCTGCTGCAGGACAATGAGGACAAACATCTTCACACCTCCATCATCTTCTGTTAAACTTTATTTTTCCTGAATGTGTTTAAGTGAAACCTTCAGGTTTTTATGAATTAAAGCTGTTTCCAGTTTTTATTCCAATGAATTATTGATCACAATACAGAGTTTATGATTCAGAATATAAAAATACATCCTTAAAAACCTGCAAACATCATCGTTCATATGAAGCACAGGATCAGCTGAAGGAAAACATTTCACATTCTTCAATTTAATATTGGGACTGATGCACAGCCGCTCTGTGTGAAATAAGCCGGTGTAGCTCTGGCCTGCTGAGAGCCCAGCTGCTGCTTCGGTGGTTTGAAGATGATCATCACTGAGACGAACGTTACAGAGAGGAGGAGCTTCTCCACGTAACAGAAGGACACTCAGGTCTATTTGAGGCTCTCACAGAGCAGCTCGCCATGATTCACAGTTCATAATAACCCTTCTTCAGAGGAGGCGACGCCAAAGTCACGTGACTCAGACTCTTACGGTCTCAGCACCTGAGAGCCAAACAGACGGGTTTCTACAGGAACCGTTTAAACATCTGCTCATCATGAAACTACAGGGATACAAACAGGAAGTCCTTCAGAATAAAAACAATCAGTCGCCAACGAGCTGCTCACACTGAGCCCGGCTTAGTTTGATCAGGTGAGAAGACACGCTGATGGTCATTCAGGCGACGCTCAGAAACAACGACCCAAATTCCCAAAACACCGACGCAGAACTCGCAAGAAACCGACACATCTACGGAAAAACCCACAACACTACCAACAACATCCCAGAAACCTAAAAGAAGAGCACTAACGTGTTAAATGGTTAACTTTGTGCCGTGACCAAACAAGTTTCCCACGTGTGGGACTAACAAAAGTTTATCTAATGGAAAACAAACAAACACATAAACAGGGTTTTATTTTTTCCCGTCACTGGCTCACAAACCCTTGGCTCCACCGCATCCTTTTGGTCTTAAAAATGTGAAATATTCGATTAATGAACCACGCTGGGACCGTAGCGAGTTCAGCCCGGCCTCCTGACCGCCGGTCTGAATGAGCCGCTTTCACACACGTCACGTTTTTATCCCACCGCTCAGATTTCTGCTTTGGCACAAACATCATCAGTCAGCTGTGTTCAGAGTAAGCAGGACCCCGAGCTTTTCAAAATAAAAAAAGCTCAGAGCTTCAGTGTGCCTTCAGGGACTCGATGTAGTGGAAAGTGGCGCCCAGAGCCCAGCTGGTCTCCACCTGGTTGATGGTCCTCGCAAGCTGGGACACAGACAACGTCAGAGAGGTGAGACGGATCGATGGTTTTAAAGGAATCGATAGAAGCGAGACAGGAAGCTCACCCTGAACTGCTTGTGTGGAGGGAAGCCGAGCTCCTGCAGCAGGGCTGAGATGTAGACCAGGTCCAGACAGAGGAAGGGGCTCCGCTGAGGACCGACGGACACGTCGCTGCACCCTGCAGGGAGAAAAACACCCACAGCGGTCACAGATTTAAAAAAAATCTGCTGATATCAACATTTAATTGGACCTCTGTGGGGTTAGCATAAACTAATCAATCATGTGGACTAGAGTCGGGTCAGAAACACGTTCTGGCTTCATTGATGATGACGGCAGCTCTGAGTGACGTCCAGCAGAGGGCACCGTCTCACCTTTCTTCGCTGCGTCGGTGTAGTCGGACACTCTGATGCTTCCTCCCTTCTTCTCGTCTGGACACAGAGCACAGAGAGGAGGGTTAAACAGAAACCTGCAGCAGCTCCTTAACACGAACGTTCCCGGTTTTCCAGCTTTTCTGGGATCAGCGGTGTTCAGGAACTGTGGGCTCCCACAGTCAAACGTCATGTTAAAGGTGACAAACGGCAGCTTGCGGGACGGGGGCGGCTGTGAGCCAATCGGCTCTGGTAAACACAAAACAGGAAGTCTGGGACGAAGCTCTGATGAAAGTTGCGCCTACGAGCGATTAAACCCGAGTCAGTGAGCGAACGCCGCCTGAACGTGAAGCTCCAACTCTGACCCTTCCTCACACCTGGTCTGCAGGTAACGCCGGGCCACATTCAGGACGCTCTGATAAATGGGACACCCCCCGGGGACAACAGGTGTGCCGGGTAACTTCCCCTGTAACGGCGCGGCTTCACAAACGATTCGTCTTCTAAAATCCGCCAAAAAAGAAGTTTGAGTCGCGAACACAGCAGCGCCGAGCGTTTCTGCGGCTTCAACGGACGCCACGCCCTCGTCGAGGTTTATTTGGCTTCCTGTTTACGCCATGATGGATCAGCGTGACATGCTGCCCCCTGCAGGCGAGCAGCAGAGCGGCAGTATTTCCTCACCGATGGCGCCGATGTCGACGGCGCGGTCGTAGTAGAAGGAGAAGGCGTAGAAGTCCATGTCGGTCACGCCGGACGCCTTCGCCACCTTCTGGTACAAAACCTTCTCCACTCTGTTCAGGCACGCCTCGTAAACCGGCTCCCCTGAAACACACGTGCACACAAAAGGTTCCTAACCCCAGCTGCATCATGAGTAACCATGGCAACCACACCACCAATCAGAGATGATCTGCTCACCTGTGCTCTGGCCTTTCACAGTGTAGACCACGTCAGCGTGCTCCCAGCTGCCCGAGTACTCTGGAGCAAGGCAGGGGCTGACCAGCTCCGGGCTGCCCCCTACTGCACACAGACACAGACACACACAGACACAGACACACACAGACACAGACACACACACACAAACACACACAGACACACAAACACAGACACACACACAGACACACGTTTGTCTGTTTATCTCATCTCAAACCCGCGAACAGTAAAACGACACACAGCCCTGCAGTTCCTCCGACCCCCAGCAGAGGCAGCGGTGAGGTTATTGCAGTGACGATGGCTCATGTTTGCAGCAGTTTGCTTGCACACACTTCCTGCTTTAGCCAAATGCTGTCAGTCTGCTACAGCAGTTTTCCAAAAAGTCACAAATATATGATGTGTGGTTAAAACGGTCCCAGCAGGACGCCTGAACGCGACACCGCCACGGCGACGCCTGCGTGCACATAAACAGCCCGACAGCAGAGAGGATCTGAGCTGCAGCTTCTTGCAGCAGTTAAACCGCAGCAACAGCTGGCCAGCAAGGAATTAATCTTGCAGTGTGTTATTAAAAGATTAGATAATGGCTTATTTATCTGCCGGGCGGGGGTGGGTGGGGGCACAACAGGCTGAGATGAAAATCTGAAAACTGAAAAACAAGAAAAAGAAAAACAGGTCAGGTACGTACGGGGCGGGGCACCGACGCCTCCCAAGATGGCGAGGCGAGCCGACATCAGGCCCAGACCCAGATAGCTGCAGAGAGAGCACATCAATAATCCATAATCGATCAGCTGATCATCAGAAAATGAATGTGTCTGACCTGACACGTTTGGTTCTTCCTGCTTCTTTAGATTTTTAACTTTTTAAGCTCACAATCAGTTCCTGCGTGTTAACGTCGCTACTGAGACTCGAACAGCAAACACGACGATTAAACCGGAAACTCGACGAGTTCGATCACGTCAGCGAGCCTCTGACTGACAGCTGTGTGTGACCCACCAGCTGACTTCACATCAGCCAATCAGCACAGGCACAGTGTGAGTGCGTGTACCTGTGAGTGTAGACCACATGTGGGTGGTTGAACATCTGGAAGGTCCGGATGTAGTCGATAGGTGAGGTCTGGATGGTTTTCTGCACAGAAAGAAAAGAACTTCAGGCTTCTGTGACGCTGGGTCGGCTCTAAAAACAGACGATTCCTTCGAGTGTTGCTTCCACGCTGGGTGGAACAAATCCACAGAAAATCAATCTGCTGCTTATTTTTCCTGAGAGCGTTTTCTGACAGTACTGTGCAAACACACATGTAAATACAGTACACACACATGGAAACACGGAGTGTGTATTTGGTGTGAGCAGCTGTCAGCTCTGTGAGGATCCTCAGCTGAGGGCGGCTCTGCGGAGGCCCGTCCGTGACTGATGGTGTCCTGCTGTGTGGTGTCAGATCCAGGTGTGCTTTCACTGCACCGACAGTGTGTTTGCATCATTGTCATGCTGGAACAGGAAGCTTCTTCTGTCCACTTTCCTCGGGGTTTTGAGGACACACTGACACCACGCTGAGATGTGCAGAGTTTCAGCTGACAGTTCTTTGGAATCACCGTGTTGGAGACAAAATCCTGTTTTCATGAGAAGCTGTGATATCGTTGGCATTTTTGACAGATTTGGTAAAGAAACTGGAACAGATGATGAGTTTGTGAGACAGGCTGATGCTAACTAACTGCACCTCTGCTCAGGTGTGCGGGATTCACTGTCATTCCTGTGAGAAAGCTCCCGTACAAGGACTGAACAGGAGAGGAAAAGCAGCCAATGTCCACAGAAGAA